GCGTCGTGCTGGTGACTCCGCCCTGTTCTTAGTACTGACTGTTAGTTTTCAGCTCCCCTCACCCTGCTGGCAGAACTAAGACGCCAGTGCCTGTTCAAATCCAGTCTCCAGTGTCTTACCCGTTATCCAAATTTGCAGACATTTTTCATAAACTTTCACAGTCCTGTACTGTGAGCTCTGATCTCCCACTCAACAACATTTAACACAGATTTCTTATTGATCAGATTTTCTGTCACTTCTTGAACTGTGTGTGGGCATTAAAGGTACATCCTTAAATAATTCACTCATATTTGTCAGATAGTCTGTTCTGTGTCAGGTAAGGACCATCTGTGTGTTTCCTTTACTTGTCTTTTGTTCTCCAAACACAGAAAGAAAAGTGCTTCAGTTCAGTGAGGCTGAACTCTGCTGGCCGTTCATGAATATCGGCTCCCTGTTAAATTCAGAATTGAAACACCTGCTCCTCACATACAAGCTCTGTAATAACCAGGCCTCCTCAGAGGGGTTCATATGATTGTTTCTGTTGTGTCTGTAGGTCTTTACCTACCTTTAAAAGCACTCTGAGGCGACTGTTGCTGCGATTTGATGCCATATTAATGTTATAACACTGAACTGAACCAAAGTTCAGTTTGTTTGCAGCAACAGAAAAAATGTAATAACATTAGTAAAAAACTCAAATTTACTTGAAAGTTAAAGTATAAGAAAGATATTTTTGTAATATTTGCAGATATATAATATTACATATTTGTATCGTATTTATGTATTTATACACATTAACCTCGTAATGAAGTTGCTTTTGCTATGAATATTTTTCCAAAGTGCAAAACTGAAAAAAATAAACAGTTTGAATGTTCTTCTAAAAGTAACTGTCGACATATTTTCCTCTTTTTTTCTTCTGTTGCTTTAAACCTTTTTTTTTGTTCTCAGAGCCCAACAAGCAGCGACCGTGTCTCAGGTAAATCCTCCTCCTCTGTTTCTATCATCACTGAATTTTGTTCAATTGTTTCAGCATCTTCTTCATGTGAAATAAGTGTGTTTGTGGCAATGAAGGAATATTTTACCAGACTTTATTCAAGCTGAAGCACATTCACATCAGATTAATCTCTCGTGATTTTAATCTCAGATGAATCCAAATATGTTCCTGGTTAAATGATGATTCCTGCTCGTCTGGAGTAAAAGACTGAAATCAATTTAAACCAGTAAAATATAAGAAGAATATAAGATATTTTAATAACCATATTTCAGATCTTAGTGCTCTGACCTCTCTGTGATTCACTGTGTTCATGTCAGACTCATCGTCAGACTCAAAGACGCCGCAGGCTGAAGCTGGAAGTGGAGCTGCTGCTGCCAGCAAAGAGGGTAAAAACAAAGTGATGAAGAATAAAGAGAACAGAGAACAAAACTACAGGAAGTTTTTATACTTTATACAAAGTTGCATTAACTTGGCATTTGACACACTGACATTGAATTTTTTGACACAAACAATTTCAAACGAATTTGTGGGAAAATGTAACCAGTTTAAAATCGCACTGTTTTGTTTTTCTTGATGAAAATTGACACCTATATATTTATCATAGTCCAGCTATTTTTGTTAATGAGAAATATGAAAAAATATGTTAAACTGTGAAACTTAAAATGAATTCCACCGAGTTACTCTGCAGTCATGCTTCTTTCACATTTCCACAGCTGTGAACTTTGACATGAACTTACAGAGTCACACGGTGTCTGACAGTAAATGGTCTCATCATTGATTTTCTTTGGACTGCTGTGAGTGGACGGACAAAATATAACTGTGGAGTTTCAGTGTTCGCAGTACTAATTAAAGGGTGTGTGTGGATGAAACAGCCAGAGGAAAACATCTGTTAATGTAACGCACAGAGACAGAGGCGTAACACTGCTGTCCGTCAGGTCTTAGACCTCAGTGATGAAGCGAGCTGCAGATCCTCCTGTCAGAGAGGAAAACTGAGTTCATTCGACACAATGGGAGAAGCTTTCTTTAAATAATGATGCTGTGTGTTTTCTGCATCCACAACATCCACCCTGACCCACACTGGACTGTGACAGCTCGTCATCACACACAGGAACCTGCAGTTTAAAACCTTTCAGATTTATTTGATCATATATTCACATCAATCATGAAAGTTCACGCCTGCAGTGCATGTGTGAAAAGAGCTTCATTCTGTGAGTCGAAATTCAAGAACAAGAGTTTTTCCTTCATAAATTATTATAAATAAATACTCACTAGTGTTAAGGGCACAGTCACCAGCTTTCGTCTCAACTAAACAAATAAATCAAAACATATGTGGTCCTTCTTGTTAGTCCAGTTTACTTTATTTTGGATGAAGTATTTTGATTTTGTCCCTTGACGGTGCTTCATGTAAAGAAAGACAAATGTCAGTAAAGTTTCAGGAATAACAGGTGAACAAAAGCCTCCTTCCCTCACTGCTCACAGACACTTTCTTTGATCAGGTTTGTGTGTTTCTCTCAGACTCAGAGTCGTCTCAGAGCTGTGCGGTGGTTTTGGAAAACGTCACAGACAACATGTCCACAGATCTGCTCTCCATGCTGGTGGAGAACATCTCTGGGTTGGATGAGAACGGCTA